CATGAAGCGGCAGCAGCATGAAGCGGCAGCAGCATGAAGCGGCAGCAGCATGAAGCGGCAGCAGCATGAAGCGGCAGCAGCATGAAGCGGCAGCAGCATGAAGCTGCTGCAACATGAAGCGGCAGCAACATGAAGCGGCAGCAGCATGAAGCGGCAGCAGCATGAAGCGGCAGCAGCATGAAGCTGCGGCTGCAGCATGAAGCTGCAGCAGCAACATGAAGCTGCAGCAGCTTCATGTTGCAGCAACATGAAGCTGCTGCAACATGAAGCGGCAGCAACATGAAGCTGCAGCAACATGAAGCTGCTGCAACATGAACTGCTAAAGGAAGAAGCCAGTTGTACCAGAGAAGAACATTTATTCTACAAGATCATTCTGTGAAAGGAAATTTGGACATGTAAAGGGTGTTTTCATGAACACTGAGGTGCAACAGTGGGGTGCTTCATGTCATGGCTGGAGTTAACTTGGCTTATTTTATTCATGTGGCACAAGTTCCACTCCCCAACCCCCCCAAAAAAACAAAAAACATATACATATATATGTATATATATATATATATATACACACATATACACATGTATATATATATATATACATATATATACACATATATATATGTATATATATATATATACATATATATATGTGTATATGTAGCAGTGCTGAAATACACCCCAACACTGATCTACAGACAAAATGTTCTTGCCGTCTTTCTAATGTGCTTTTTTAAACTAAATAAACGCAGATCATGAACTTTATATTTGATCCAAACCCACACGCCCTTTTCACTTTACAGTTTTACAGTTCCTCAAGCATTTCAACACCTACACTGAGCTTACTTGAAACTAAAAGCATCAGAAGTGATTGTTTCTGAAAAGAAAAATCAGGATATTTAACTGACTGAAAGAAATAAAACCAAAATCCTCAGAGAATCCCTCGTGTACAGTAAATGTAGGCACGCTCTGATGGTATCCATCGGTATAGGCAAACAGATGCACCTCACCAGGTTCTTTCTTCAACATCTCACAGACTCCACATCCCACTCTGATGCTCACATGTGGTCAATATCCACAGAGTCCACTGGACTCAGTCCATGTGCCCCAAAAACCCAGTTCCCAAGGCTTTTTAGTCCGTCTCCATGGCACTGCTGTGCGTTTCCTTGGACACCATGAGTCTCATCAGTTTTCCATAGAGCTTCTCGATCTTCTTCACGTCCTGGGCCTGGTCCGTCTTGTACTGTAAACACTGAGGGCAGACAAAAACACTACATGAAGCCAGTGATGGTGACCATACAAAATATTTATCCATCCATCTCTATAGCTCTCTATATATCCAACTATCTACATCCATTTATTTATTTCTGGAGATATGTGAGATGGCCATGCACAGACGTCTGCCATCCACTCTGATGGAGCTTGACGGGTCAGAAAGGTGTGCTCAGCTTGAAGCATCCCATTCAAAATGACTGGAGGCTGTAACTGCTGCTAGAGACGGATCAACAAAGTATTAGTTAGTCAGTAGTAGTGTAGCTGTTTGTTTCATTTTTATATTTCTTGCATTTGCTTTTCATCTCACTTGTCTACTGTTGTTAGTCCCTCATCTGTGTTCTTTGTTTAAAACAGGTGTCTCTGGTAAATGAGTCCTCATGGCTCAATGAGACTTTCAGCTGCTCCTTCTTCAGGGGTCGCCACAGTGAACGGACTCGCACGAAGACTTGGCAAGAGGAAATATTAACTGGGCTCACATCTATTACTGATTCAGTCTGAGTCAATAGAAGTGTGGGGTGGTGGTCAGTGGTGCCATGGTGTGGTCCTGATGGGAGTTGGAGCCCAGTCTGGGCCAGGAGGGCGCCCCACATCAAACTACATCATAAAACAAATCTTCATGCACTGTTGCTGTGGAAGGGAACAGACTGAAGAAAAAACTGCTCAAGAACTGAGTTTGAATTAAAATGTTAGAGAACTATCAGCTGCGTTAAAATATTTCATGACCCAACCGCAGGATGGATTTTGATGAAGCTGTCACTTTGAGGTGCACCTACCTTTGGATTAAACACTGGAGTGGATCCAGCTCACTTCACATTTATTCATGTCCAATAAGAAGTGGTAATGTCTGAGTAATCATCCTCAACACGAACTCCAAGAGCCACGTCTTCCCACATGTCGGTCTCATGTGGATGACGTCACTTCAACGCTCATGTCTGACAGCTCACTTCAAACAGAAATTACTGCACTTTCGTCCTTTTACTCACCGCTGCATTATCGGTGACTTTAATGCAAAGGTTACCGTCGCAGTGCCGATATTTGAGAACCACTCTGACCTGGAAAACACAACAAGTATCAGCTGAAGCGAGTCCGCGCGCTACATCATGCTAACGAGCTAGCCCGTACTGCGCTGCTAAAAGCAGGTTTTCACCTTCATGGGATCCGCCAGGTACAACTTCTCTGCCGCACGAGCGAACTCCTCCCAAGTTTGATAGTAAGGCATTATTGTAATAAAGTTACGTCAATATTATTTTGACAACACTTTTTGAATTAAGCAGCGGATAGCACACTCGCTAACCTCAGAACACCACATCAGCAGCGGAACGAGCTCAGCCAATCAGAATCAAGAGAAGCGGAAGAACGAGCTCAGCCAATCAGAATCAAGAGAAGCGGAAGAACGAGCTCAGCCAATCAGAACCAAGAGAAGCGGAAGAACGAGCTCAGCCAATCAGAATCAAGAGAAGCGGAAACAGAAATCCCGAGACTTCTTCTTCTTCTTCTTCTTCTTCTTCTTCTTCTTCGTTTTTATGGCGGTTGGCAAACAGCATTTGGTGCATTACCGCCACCGACTGGTAAGGAGTGTGAATCAGGACTAGCGAGCAATAAATAAATAAAATTAAAATAAATAAATAAACTATATTCTTTTAATTAACCCCGTTACTATTAGATAACGAAAAATGATCTTAAGACTTGCATCAAAATATCTTTTCCCTAATAAGTGTAAAAGATTATACTGTTCTTTTTCTCGTTCAAGACTCGTCATCATTTCTGTTCTTTCTTTCTGGTATTTCCTACAGACAGACATTACATGTTCTATAGTTTCACTTTCCCCACAAAACTCACACCTTCCTGTGTCATGTTTCCCCATTATATGTAGCGTTGCATTAAGTCCTGAATGACCTAACCGTAGCCCAGTTATTATTCTTTCCTCTAATCTATTTCCTCCAACACCTCTTCTATTTTCTCCCACCTTCCTTTGAATTCTATAGAGCCTCTTCCTTTTACATCCTCTTCCCACTGCTTCTGACATTTTTCTCTCATTTTTCTTTTAATAATACTTTTAGTCTCTGACTTACTAAAAGATACTCTTACATTAATTTCTTCTCCCTTTGCAGAGTCTTTGGCCTTCTTGTCTGCCATTTCATTTCCTTTCACTCCTATATGTGCTGGTACCCATAGAAACACAAGAATTAACGCCATCATCTGAATCCGATATACTATTTTCTGAATGTGTATCAAAATATCTGGACGACTTTCTGAGTGACTTCTTTGTAAACTGATGAATGATGAGCTTGAATCAGAACAGATGAGCTCTTAAAGGTCTTGTTTCTTCTACCCATTCCATTCTAACATTACTGCAACCATGTCTGCAGTATAAACAGAGAGTCCTTCATTCACTTTCTTCCCTATGTTAAGTTTAAATTCTGGAATTATAACTGCTACTCCTGTATCACCTGACGGACTCTGGGAAGCATCTGTATAAATTTTTACATAATCATAATATTTCTCTATGTACTCTTGTACTATTGTTGAGTTACATATGAATGTTTGATCTAATTTCCTTCTGTGTAACAAAGTTAAGTCTACATTGGCCTCAGGTATAATCCACGGTGGAATTATTGATAATGGCACAGTTGGACTGATTTTTAAATGATGTATTTCTAATTCCTTTGTTTCCTGTATTATTTTCAAGACATGAAATTTGTTGTCTGCTCTGTCCATCTCCCAACACTGTTGTAAAATTACCTGTGCAGGATGATTTTGACTGTGTCCCTTTAGATTAGCCCAATAATTTAATGATAATTGTCTCCTTCTTAATGTTAGTGGAACACCTGGAGAGCTGGTGCAGAGAGAATAACCTTCACATCAATGTGAAGAAGACAAAGGAGATGATTGTGGACTTCAGAAGGAACAAAAACACCTACACCCCCCTGAACATAAGAGGATCTGCGGTGGAAGTGGTCTCCAGCTACAAGTACTTGGGTGTACACATGAACAACAACCTCAGCTGGAGCAACAACACCACCAGCCTGATGAAGAAAGCTCATCAGAGACTCTACTTCCTCAGACGGCTGAGACGAGCTGGTCTGGAAGCTCAGTCCTCACCTCCTTCTACAGGTGTGCAGTGGAGAGCATCCTGTGCTCCAACATCAACGTGTGGCATGGAGGCTGCACAGCTGCAGAAAGAAAAGCTTTGCAGAGAGTGGTGAAGGCTGCACAGAAGATGTTGGAGTCAGTCTCCCCACCATCACAGACATCTACACCTCCAGATGCAGGAAGAGGGCCACCTGCATCATGAAGGACCACACTCACCCAGCACACACACTTTTTGCCCCACTCCCCTCAGGAAGGAGGTTGAGGAGCATTAAGTGTAGAACCACTAGACTGAGGAACAGCTTCTACCCTGAGGCTGTTAGACTCATGAATCTCTAACTAGAATAATCACTGTGAAAAACCATATCATGTTGCTGCTGATCTGTTTCATGTTGCTGCTGATCTGTTTCA